TAGCCCCTCATGACACACGTCTCCATAATGTTATGCAGCAGCTCCATGGCAACGGGGCAACATTGGTCTCGGGTCTGGCCTCTTGTAGCCGCAGAGCCAATAATGCCTCTGCATATACTGTAGTACTGGTATGTAACTGCAGTACTGTAGGTGGAGTATCGAGCTGAGGGTGTACTGGCAGAGAAACTTCATTTATATGTCTTGAAATGATACATATATGTCTGTAAAAGGAACTTATTTCTTCTTTAACTTTTATCAAACATGAACGTTTTTAATAATAATTTTTTTTACAAATCCAGTCACATACATACACATGATGTAAGACCTGTCTGATTAAAATAGTTAAATAAAATAAATCAATTGAATTGTCCATGTAGGCAGGTCACATTTAATTGAAAATGATTTATATAAAAAAATACATTTATATATACTGTATATTTTTATGTATTAAAATTATTATTTATTTTCAAAATTTGTATATGTTTATCTGTGATGCAACAAACAAAAAAAGGACCAACATATTCTTTAGAACAATTTCAATTTATTTTACGTGTGTATTTATGTATTTAAAGAAACAGTTCTCAGTTCCCTGTTGTACCAGACGCAAAATAATTAATTTATATATTTTTGCATTTGTGTTTTTTTTTTCTTCGTGTTTATCAAATGTGCTACAAATAAAGATATTAATCCAAGTTGAGCGTTTTATTGTGAAGGGATTCCACTACCGTAACCACAGGTCTACTTCCGTGTTGAAAACAGGAAGTGGACTTCGACAGCCTAGCTTTACGGCAGGAGCCTCTCCACTACAAACACTGAGCTTTTTTGCTGTTCGTTCTAATCACCGGTGTACTTTTTTTTTAAACACAGCTCCGGGTCAAAATGTCTGCCAGAAACCCAGGCACCGAACTCGGTAGGTTTAACTGATTCCTGCCCTCGTTTCTCCTCGAGTGTAACTTAAGTTTCTCCCCCACACGTGAGCTGCTTGTTCGGCGTCTTTTAGCGGTGTATTCGCTGCAAAGTTTTACATATAAAGCCAGACAACGAATAATGTTAGCATTCATTTTTTTGTTAATAATTTTTTTCAACATCTCCACACGATATGACAACGAGGCAGTAGTTCAAACTCCTCAAACCGTATTAATGAGTAACAGTGTGGAGGTAAATGACCTGTGAATAACTAACATTTATTCAACAGAAAGTAAAACCATCAGCACCGACACTGTAACATATGGTGGTGGAAATATTACCCCAGGTATAAGCCGCATGTTGACAGTAATAATGTGACCATAATGAAGTTAATTAGAGTCACAGTGTAATAAGGAACCCATCAATCAAATCAATCAAATTTTATTTATATAGCCCACATTTACAAAATACAGTTTGTCACATGGGGCTTCACAGGGTTGGTAACATCCTCTGTCCTTAGACCGTCAGCCAGGGTAAGGAAAAACTACCGAAAGAGAAACCCTTTCAACAGGGAGAAAAGAGAAAGGTAGAAACCTTAGGGAGAACCACAGGTGACGGATCCACTCCCTGGACGGACAGACGTGCAATAGATGTTATCAGAACATATTATGAATGTATAAACATCCATACAGCAAATGGTACCGATGTTTATCATATTATAAAACATTATTATAAAACTGATTGGTGTTTTATTTATTTATTTACTTACTTATATATTTGTTTATTTCCCCCTGCTCCTGTGGTGTAGATCTGGAATGGATTTCCAAAGTCAAGGTCAATACCCAAGCTGTCCTGAAGAGGGCCCAGCAGATCCAAGGACACAAGCTGCTGAAGAAACAGTGGCAGGTACCGTTCACCGCCTCACGGTGTCACTGCATAGTTCAAAGTCTGTCTTCGTGTGCCTTCACGTTCGTCTCATTTTAGATCACGTGACATGTCGGCCGTTTGAAGTTGTTCAAAAGTCCAGTTTCCGGTGAGAACTGAACTGTTTCTCTGGCTGTTCCTCGTCGAAAAGTTGTAACCCATGACGGACGACTGTTCTCTGCTCAGCTGACATTTTCATCCGAAACCTCGGACCAAACTCCGTGTTTCTGTTTAGACAAAAAAAGGCCATGGAACTGAACTTGGCCTTGATAATCCCATCACTCAGATTACACATGACGTCACAAATTAAACATTATATATCCATATATTGTCAACGTTTTTTTTTTCAAATGTATATACAAACTAGGTATTTTTCCCGCCACATTTTTCCAAATAAACCGTAATAATAAATAAAATGGTAATGTTAAAAAACATTATTATAAAACTGATTGGAGTTTTATTTATTTATTTATTCACTTATATATTTGTTTATTTTCCCCCTGCTCCTGTGGTGTAGATCTGGAATGGATTTCCAAAGTCAAGGTCAATACCCAAGCTGTCCTGAAGAGGGCCCAGCAGATCCAAGGACACAAGCTGCTGAAGAAACAGTGGCAGGTACCGTTCACCGCCTCACGGTGTCACTGCATAGTTCAAAGTCTGTCTTCGTGTGCCTTCACGTTCGTCTCATTTTAGATCACGTGACATGTCGGCCGTTTGAAGTTGTTCAAAAGTCCAGTTTCCGGTGAGAACTGAACTGTTTCTCTGGCTGTTCCTCGTCAGGCCGCCTGGCTGCTGAAGGCCGTCACGTGTATCGACCTGACCACTCTGTCCGGGGATGACACGCCGTCCAACGTGCACCGGCTGTGCCTGAAAGCCATCCAGCCAATCAGAGTTGACCTGCTGCAGAAGATGGACATGCACGACAAAGGTGTGACCGGGCAGTAGAACCGGCAGCTTCACATGTCACGTCAAACATCAGTGTGGAACAGTCAGAAACTTTAGAGCTGTCCTGGTAGTACCTGAACTCAACCTGCAGAGGGCGACAGAGGCCAGTTAATGATGTTCTTGTGTGTGTGTGACAGGAGTGACCACCGCGGCCGTGTGTGTGTACCCGTCCCGTGTGGCCGATGCTGTGGCAACTCTGAAAGCTGCCAACTCCAGCCTCCCTGTTGCCTCAGGTGACTCACTTTTACCCCCCCCCCCACAGTGCTGCTGTGTATGTGGTAACTGTGTAGTACTCATGAGGATTTTTGTACTTTGTATTACTGGGTTAACTTCCTTGCAGGACCACAACTTTATGACAGACGATCATGTCGTTGGTGGCGAACCTTATTTTTATTATTATTATTATAACATCTGTTTTTTTTTCCCCCTAGTGGCCACTGGTTTCCCGGCGGGTCAGACGCCACTGGAAACGCGTCTGCAGGAAGTTCGTCTGGCAGTAGCTGACGGAGCCACTGAGATCGACATCGTCATCAACAGAACGCTCGCCCTGACGGGCCAATGGAAAGGTACCACCTGTACTGTACCATGTGACCCGCAGTAACTCTGACAGCAGTATTCTGACTAGTCTCAGGCGTCCCAGATGTGAGGGATCTGTGGGCCACAAATGGTCCTCAGACCAGGAGTTTGAGACCACTGAACTCATGGTTACACACGCTCACTCGTCCTCTCTCTCTCTCTCTCTCTCGTTCTACAGCCATGTACGACGAGATCACTCAGTTCCGCGAGGCCTGTGGCCACGCCCACATGAAGACCATCCTGGCCATCGGAGAGCTGGGAACCTTCACCAACGTCTACAAGTCCAGTTTGGTGGCCATGATGGCAGGTCAGCACCTGGGTGTCGTTGTCATATATATTTTTTTTTTTTTACAGTTAGCGATTTATTTTCTGCAAAATTAGTAAAATCAATGTTTCACAAAAAAAAATGTTGACAAACGAACCTGAAAATGTTTCACAAAAAAAAAAAATGTTGACAAACGAACCTGACGATGGTGAGGAAACGTCACTGACTGTTAGGTAGTGGAACCGTATCAGATATGACGAAGTATCGGTACCAGGACTGTAAATATCGGATCGGTGAATCCGCTCGTTAACATCCAGTTAATTAAACTGATCGTTTTCACGAAGGAGTTCGGAGTAAAAAAAAACAAAAAAAAAAAAACGCCTCTGTGCAATGTACGTTTTCATCCACATAGTGGCGCTGTTGTGAAGCTTTTTTTTTAACCTATTAGAAAAGACAAACCTGGTGGAGCACTATCTCACACACACACACACACACACACACACACACTCTGACTGTGCTTAACTGGCCGTCACATATTAAGCCGATTACAGACCCGATCGTCGGGGGCTCTGATAGAGATCATTATTAAAATGCATCGCTTTTGTGGCGTCGTCGCTCCTTAATCTCCTCTTGTTCCTGAGAATTGCGGATGAGATTCCTAAAATTGAATGATAATTTCACCTATTAATCTCCGATGCCGGCTTTTTTACTCCGCCGTCCCCCGCCACTATCCCCCCCGCTCCTGCAAATGAATAGAGCTTCATTACCGCCACCCGCGTTTAATAACCGTTATCCATTATCTGGTAATTAAGACTCCCATAACGAATCCTGAGGATTATTCCAGTTTGAGGACGAGAGAGAGGGGGAGAGAGAGAGAGAAAATACATGTCTTTAATGAAATGGAAAATGTTCGTCTTGTTCTGTGGACTAATGAACAGTCATTACACACCGCGGCGGCAGAAGGATTTTTCCCTCCTTTTGTTCTTTCCTGCAGCCCCGGAGTTTGTGGGTAATTTATTAAAAAGCATCATTTCATCTTCTATTTTTATCAGCAAAGCAGATAAAACATAATTGGCTGTGAAGGAAGTGAAAGATGGATTCTTTTTTTTAAAAATTTTTTTCCCCCTCCACTGATAAGCGTGCAGCTGCCCTCTGTTGGCCGTCAGCGGCAGCATATGTTCCTGTCAGCCCAGGACAGACCACCAGAACAGACCACCAGAACAGACCACCAGAACAGACCACCAGAACAGTGGTCTGTCCGTCAGCCACTCTGAGACTTTTTTAAAATTTTAAAATCACCCACCATCTGTCACTGCGGCGCCCCCATCAGCCAAGGCTGGGTAAAGCAGTGAAATGTAGGTCATGTTGCAGTTTGTTCCCAAACCTTTCCTGCAGCGCCCCCTGCTGTAGAATATGTTATAAATCAAATTATAAATCAGTGCAGTGTTGTCCCACTCTGGGAGCCATAAAAAAAAGTTAGCTCTGGTCTGTTGGACCTATGAGGGCCCCTGTCCCCCCACTTTGAGAACCATTGTCATATAGTGCTTGTGATTGGTCGTGTGGTTTTAATTTTAGAGTTTGACGCAGACTGAGAACCGCACACACGTGTCACCTGTTTTACGTCAGGTTCAGACTTCATCAAGACCTCCACCGGGAAGGAGAGCGTCAACGCCACCTACCCCGTCGCCATAGTGATGGTGAGGGCCATCCGAGACTATTACCTGAGCACCGGCCACAAGGTAAGAAGACGCGGGTAACGTCCGCCAACCCTGGGCGTTGATAATATTCCCTCAGTAATGAGATAAAGGTTAAAGTGGTTTTTCAAAATAAAAGTCCTTCAAGAGTTTCATCAAAGGTTGACGAAAACGAACGTCAACTTCGAATGAGAGAAAAATGTTGCATGACAAGAAGCGTTAACTGTGGTGTGTTTTTTTTTTTTTTTTTTTTTCCAGGTGGGTTTCAAACCGGCAGGTGGGATCAGAACGGCTCAGGAATCCCTGGTTTGGCTCAGTCTGATGAAGGAGGAGCTGGGTCACGATTGGCTGACTCCTCATCTCTTCCGTTTGGGAGCCAGCAGTTTATTGGCCGACATCGAGAGACAGGTGAGGACACACACACACACACACACACACACACACACACACACACACGTATTTACTAGTTACTGAAGGGCTGAGTACAGTACAATTCAAAGAGTGGCCTGAGGCCCACATGTGGCCCACATGTGGCCCAGAAACAACCCCAGAGTGGCCCACTCTGATAGGTTGATAAATGTTCAGAAAAAAAAGTCAGAGAATTATGATGAATTACAATTATTTTATCTTTAATATTTATAACACTCTCACCTTAGGTTTGATTTTAATATCTTCTCTGAGAAAGACATTTTTTTTTTTAAATCTTCAGGTATTTTTCAGGCCCTAAAATTTCAAATAAATTATAAATAAAACGTAAAATAAATTCAATTTAAAATATAAAATAAAAAAATAAAAAAATGGATAATTGAAAATAATACAGTAAAATTTAAAGTAAATAAAATGGATGAAAATTATTCAAATTGCAGGGAAAACTTTAAAGAAAATGCGAACGTACTTCAACCTCCTCCCAGGATTGGCTGTCTGAGGTCACATGACCTGGTGTAAATGAAGATTCTCTCCTCTCTCTTCTCTTCTTCGTGTGCGTTTGTGCAGATCTATCACCACGTGACTGGACAGTACGCAGCCTATCACCAGCTGCCCATGGCCTGAGCCGCTCACTTCCTGCTTCACTGACCAATCAGAACCTCTCACAGACTCACCACAGACGCACCTCTTTGTGGTCTACTCTAGACCTTTCCAAAGCCTGGGTCGTGTCCTACAGATGGACTCACTAAGAGAATGGGATTAATTAATTATGACTGTGAAAATAATTTTCAAGACAATTGTCAGAGAAAAGATATGAAATGTGAGCGTTAATATATATAAATATATATACATATATTTATATATATTTATATATGTATTTATATATATGTATCTATATATACATACATATACATACATATACTGTATCTATATGCATATACAAATATATATTTATATACACATGTGTCTATATATATGTGTATATATGTATTATCAGAAACTAATGAACGCGGCTAAAAATCAGTTTTTTTTGCCAACACTCGGTGCTAGTGATTTATTTTGAATTAACAACACTGTTCTTGCTTTGACTGTGCACGGTTTCTCACACACACACACACACATGGACCAAATGAAGTATCTGACGTTAAAATCTGTTTTTTTCAAAAATATTTTATATTTATCTTAATTTTATCGTAAATCTTTTCAAAATAAAAATCAGTTCCTATTTCATCCTCTGAAGACAAACGTGATATTTAATATATGATACAAGGTTTTTGAAAATTAAAAATCATGACATTTTGACCTTTTGACCCCAAACGTCTAGAATGAAAAATAAAAAAGGAATTTAAAAATGATGACATTTAAACATATATATATATAAATATACTTTTGTCAGAAACATATATGGAAGAACATGGAAATAAATGAACCAATCACGGCGTTGCGTCACGTCCACATTTCTCCGGCTGCGCCGTCTTGTCAAGTTTTCTCGGTGTTTTCTCGGCGTTCCCCGGCGCGGCGTGTTCTGAATCCATTATTGATGCCTGCTCTGCTCTTACTTTCATACGGCAGGAAGCTCATCCAGCCGAGGGGCGGTG